GCGGCCCGAGCTCGCCGGGGCACGGGGGGCTTTTTTCCCAGCGCACGAGTGGCTCGAGCTGCTTTCGCGCTTGCCGGGGAGAGTTGCAAAGTCTCCCATTGCCCGGCCAAGCAGGAAGGCAATCATCTTTCCTCCTCCGCCTGGTCTGAGTGCAATTTAAATCTGCTGCTGTTTTACAGAATCCCGGAATGGCAAGGGTTGGAAGGGCCCTCGGGAGCTCACCCAGTGCCACCCCCCTGCTCAAGCAGGCTCACCCAGAGCAGGGGGCACAGGACAGCGTCCAGGCGGGGGTTGAATATCTTCAGAGAAGGAGACTCCACAGCCCCCCTAGGCAGCCTGGGCCAGGGCTCGGGCACCCTCCAAGTCAACAAGTTCTTCCTCCCGTTCAACTGGAACCTCTTGTGCTTCAGTTTGTGCCCATTACCCCTTGTCCTGGCGCTGAGCACCGTATTGCTGAAGCAGAGGGTGTAACGCTCGTGTTTTGGGAAATCCAAGTTTGATTTGTTTTAATTCTGCTTTAGAATCTTGCCAGCTGATTTGATAACGCGGGGGTTTTTTTGTCTCTCGCCTGAGTGGGTGCAAATCCCCGTGCGCAGCCCCAGAGCCGCAGTGCAAAGCCTGACTTGGGTTTTTAAGTCTTGGTGAGCTCTCGCAACGCAAGCGGAATGGGGTTGGTGTGGACTCAGTAGTTAAAACCATCGGAAAGGTTCCTGTGCGACTTAGCGAGCGTGGCACTGAAGATGAGAGATATTGCTCTGGTTTTGTCGGGACTGCTGGCGGGAAGCTCTGGCTGCTTCATGGGCGATGGCGGGCAATTCGCCGCGCCTCCGCTTGTCTCCTTCCACCTCTCTGAAATGGCAGCAGTAATACCTCCTTGGCCTATTTTTGTGGTCCAGACTGTAAGCTCGGTCCTTTTAAAGCACACATGGGTTTCGTAGCGCCGTTGTAATTAATTGCGTCTCCTCGATGGACTACCTGGCTACTGGCAGAGCGTCTCCCAGCTCCGTGCGAGCGAGTGGTCCCCGGAGGCATGTGCTGTCCCCTTCCCCTCGGCTTAATGACACTGATGCATATTAATATTTCTTTCGGTGTCATCTTCGTGCCCTCCGCTGTCCTGCCCCAGAGCCCCCGCTGTTCTGGGAGCGTCTGATCTGTAGTTGTCCTCTGGTGCATGATTAGCAGATTAGCCGTCGTGCCCAGAGCAGCAAAAAAATGAACTCCCAGAAGCCCTTCAAAACAGAGTATAATTCATTACCCACCTTGATTTCCACTTAAAATGTACTTTAACTACACTTCCAACTACAAACCCTAAATCACCCTCATGTTCACAAAAAATCCATCATTTTTTATTTTATTGCACGGCACTGGCATGACATAATCCCTTCCAGAGCGTCTTGGAGTGCTTTACGGATCAATAAATTACTTACCTGCACAGCAGAGGCAATGCGTGCAAGGCCATTGCAGTCATTCCGCCTCGGCGCAGCCCCGGGGAGGGAGGTGGGGAGAGGCAGGGAAGGGGTGCTCAGGAGTGGGGTCCAAGTCAGAAATAGGGGTGTTGCAACGGTCTGGGCTGCAGCTTCAAGCGGGTCGATGAATGGGGCTCGCCCAGGGAGGGTGGAAGGAGCAGGATGCTTTGCAAGTGATTTGTGACTCTCCTGCAAAGCGCCGCAGCGGGGTGCCAATCCGCTGCTAGGCTCCGGAGAACGGCCTGGAAAAAAATAAACCAAGGAAGGTGATGGTCTTTATTATGTTCTGCAGGTGCAGGCTGATAACAGCAGCCGATCGTTTTTCTCACACAGCTCTGCCGTGGAGCTCGTAGAAACCCCAGCCCTCCCTGGCAGCCGCATCGCGTCCTCCGCTCACGCAGCAGCAAGGGCCGAGTGCTCCCTGCTTGCTCCTCACCCTGTCCCCTGCTCATCGCCCCCCATCCTGTATGTGTGTCCCCTTTTTGGGTCTGGGACCCTTGTATCGGACCTGCTCCTGAGCGTTCGTGATGGCAGTGCCAGTGCAGTGGGATGGCTTTCATCCCAATTGAATTTCCCATCCTTCGCACAGTGGCAGACCTTAGAGGCTCCTCAGTAGACTTGTCGTCTTCATGCCCAGCTCCTCTTGGTGCTTTTCTGGTTGCAAGGGCGTGAGAGAGCGCCTGCATGGCTGCAGAAAGACCTGCAAGCCACGTGGCAGGCTCTGGGTGCTATCGTTGTGCCAGGAGCCGCTGCTGCCTTTGGGGGAGTTTGAAGGGGGTGGGTGGTGCATCCTTGGTAGGATGCAGCTCTGCTGGGAAGGGTTGGTCATGGCTTGGAGGACAGGGTGAGTACTGGGGTGGGGAAGAAGTACCATCTCGCACACCACAGAGGTGCTGGGGAGGAGCTGCCTTGAGCCTCCCTAAAATGACTGAATCCCCCCTGGCTACAATTTCTTCCCACTTCAACCCTGTCCCCTCTGCCCCCCCCTTTCCCCTGCGTCTTCCTGTCACGGCAGATGAGACCGATGGGCTACGGCATAGCTTGTCGAGGTGGAGAGAGGAAGGCAATTCGTCCCCCTTCACCCATGTTTTGAGACTTGAGTTGGAGCAGAACCCGCTGCATTTTCATTTCCCTCTTTGTGTCATTGCAGTGTCTCCAAAAATCACCGAGATCTCTTCTGACATCTCCATCAACGAGGGCGGCAATGTCAGCCTCACCTGCATAGCCACGGGCAGGCCAGATCCAACAATCACCTGGAGGCACATCTCGCCCAAAGGTAAGAGCCGAACGTTACCAGAAATATTCGGGGAAGGGCACAGCGCCATTTGCGAGTGGCTGGGGAGGCGTCGCTGGCTGTTTCCCGTGGGATTTCAGGTGCCAAGAGAAAGTGATGTGCCCAGAGAAGACGTGACGTAATGCAGGGGTTGATGACTCTGGGGGAGAAATGTCCATTTTGATGGTCTGGGCAAGGTTTTGTTGGTGCGGAGGGTTGGCAGTAGGTACCAGGTTGGGGTGGTTGTGCGTAGGGAAGGAATGTGCTTGCCCGGCCCTATTTTGCGAAGTTTTTGGGGAATTCTTGCACGTTGCTTCAAAGGAGGTCTGTAAATAGTGCAAATGAGCAGGAAAACACATGAAGCACTAATTGGTGGCCTTGTTAATTGGTAAGCAAAACCTGAGCAGAACTGTGTGGGTGTGACTGCTGGGAAGCAAATTCCCGTACGTGCCTGCTCGGGAGCATATTATTTCCAACCCCTTTCCCAGCTGGTTTTTGGTATTTGCTTTGCGTTTTGCTGCCCTGTTGTTCCCAGGTGGCTACGAGGTTCTCACTCGTGAGCTGGGGGGGGGAGATCTGGGGGCTTTGTGTGGGATTGAACCGTAGGGCAAGCGGTGATGCCTGGCTGTGATCCTGTCGAAGCGCTTCATAGAATCACAGAATCATAGAATGTTTTGGGTTGGAAGGTACCCCTAGAGGTCACCCAGCCCAACCCCCCTGCAGGAGCAGGGACACCTTGAACCACATCAGGTTGCTCACAGCCCCGGCCAACCTGGCCTGGAATGGTCCCAGGGATGGGGCCTCCACCCCCTTTCCTCTGGGCCCCCTTGAAGCCCTGACCGGCCGCACTCAGCTCTGCCCGCAGCCTTCTCTTCTCCAGGCTGAACTCCCCCAACTCTCCCAGCCTGGCCTCCTAGCAGAGGGGCTCCAGCCCTCGGATCATTTTAGTAGCCCTCCTCTGGCCCCGCTCCAACAGGTCCATGTCCTCCTTGTGCTGAGGGCTCCCGAGCTGGACGCAGGGCTCCAGTTCAACCTCAGTCATTTTTCTCCTGAGGTTTTGCCAGCGTGGGCTGTTGTCCCAAATAACTGCCTCAAGTTGTCCTCGGGGACACCCTGGCTGGGCTGTCCAGCGGCCGACAGAGACGACGCAGCAGCAGTGATGGATGGCGCCGCGTCTGCTCTCCCTCTTCAGCTGCCTGACGATGGCTGCGGTGACTCGGTGCAGCTCCATTGATTTTTTGCTATTTGTCTGCACTGTAGCAAACTGCCGGGCCAGATCCATCACTCTCTGTAGTCCAGGCAGAGAGCGAGCTGGGTCAGTGGCATCTCAGCCCCTTCCCTTGACGGGAGCCTCTGTGAAAACCATTCTCCCCCGGCGCGCGTGTTGGCTTATCTGCCGTAGGTGGTCATGCCTCCGAGACGGTGGCCTCCACTCGGGGTGGGTGCGTGGATGAGTGATGAAATGCAGGGCACAGATCCGTGTGCTCCAGCCCTGAGCATCTATCCCCGGCGTTGAAGTAGCTGTCACTGTATCCGTCACCATCGGGTGGCATTTATGGTTGAGGCAGTCCATGTGCTCCTACCTTGAAGCCTTTTCTTCTTTCTCCTCTTCCCCTTGCCTACCCTGAAGACGTCTTTTTGTCTCGCTCAAGCTCCTCACCACCTGTTTTTCACATGCATCTTGTTTTCCCTGCACATTTCCCCTGGTTTTCTCCTTCCCACACCCCCTCCTGTTCCCCCAGGACCCTCCTGCCCCGCTCCCGTGCCCCTCGCTGCCTTCTCCCACACGCCATCCATCCTCCCCTAACCAGGCTCCCGGCTCCCCGTGCCTCTGTCTTTCGCGAGGGCTATTTTCCGTGTTTGCTGCCATCCAGCAGGTTTCTTTCCCCAGGGAATCTTTACCTGCGCTTGAACCAGATGTTTCCATTTTACTTAGGACTTAGCTGCTATGGAAACTGAGGATGCACCAGGAGAGGAAGAGTGAGCTAATCAGAAATTACCTGTGGCGCTGTGTAATTTGCAGCAGCAGCTCTTACCTGATTTTGGCCATGATTAGGCATTCTGCTTTCAAAACTCAAAGGGAACAAATGATCACAGAGATTTACTTGAGTCTGGCCTCCTGCTGATGGAGGGTGCTGAGCCCAGAGGTGGCCCGAGACAACTTCTGCCCGTCTCTGTAGGCAGCTCCTCCGTGTCTCTCCCTGGGTCTGCCAAGCCACCAAGGGGGACCTCTGCTCCTCTATTTTGCATTCAGCGCACATAGGAGGGACGGGGATTGGAAGCGCAGGGACCGCAATAAGAGCTGGGGCAGGGGCACAGAGGTGCTGGAGCAGATGCCGAGACGGTAACCCTTTCCCTGGGAGGATATACTCTTAATTTGGAGAGCCAGGAGCGAGCGGGGACCCAAAGCTAGCTGCCAGCCCCTCTCCCGGTTGTAGGTCTGCCTCGCCGCTCCTCCCCAGGGATGGCTCGAGCAAGCCGCCCCCTGTTCCTTCTCGCCGCCTCTCTCCGTCTCGCTTGGAGTGGTGGAGAAAAGGGACCAGGGAGAATTGGTTAAGGGAAAGCTGGTGCATAATTTACGGGTTTACAGAGCGGATGGGTAAGCGGCTCTCACCGGTGTCGCTGGGGAGAGGCTTTGATAGCGCTGTCTGTGCCAGGCGCAGGCAGAGCGGTAGCTGGAGGAGCCGGTCCCCGCGCTTACGCCGGCGAGTGCTCCTCTGTGCAAAGGCACTTCACGGGCTTTATTATTTTCTTGGCAGCCGTAAGCCTGCTGCGCGGCTCCTGGGGGGGAATGG